TATATATATATATATATATATATATATATATATATATATATATATATATATATATATATATATGTGTGTGTGTGTGTGTGTGTGTGTGATAATAGCATTAGCCTAAGCATTTCCCTTGCCTTTGCCTTCGCCAGAGCCGGGCGGCGGGCGTGGTGTGTGGTGCGAAAACGTCGGGAGCAACTGGCTCGGGCGGGTGCCACACGACGTTTCTGGTCGACGATGGGAACTTTGGCAGCGCGACGGTCTGAGGCGGTGGGAATTGAATTTTGCTCGGTAAGTGTCAGGACCGTTTGATCAGATTACAAAGAAATTATCGAGAACGTCGGGGGCTACTAGTCCGGACCGGTGCCACCCAACGTTTCCGACCGACCGACCGTAGTAACGTTGGCCGACGACGGGCGATGTCGTTGGAAATTGAATTTGGCTCCGTGAGTGTTGGGACCGTTTGATCAAATTTCGAGAATTTCATCGAAAACGTCGGGAGCGACTACTCTGGGAAAGGCAGCCCAGCACGTTGGCCAGGCTGTCCCGCACATCGGAAAATTTTTGGAAGCAAAAAAAATAAATAAAAAAATTATACCATTCGAAAACGTGTTTTGGTCGTTGGAAACTACCTTTGGCTTGTTTATTTTTGGCACATTTAATGCCAAAACGACAACGTTTTGCTTTTAATGCTTCTAATTGGAATGTGTTCGGCCACTTCTCTTCTCCTTTTGGTTTCGCTCAACTACAGCAAAATAAGGGTCTTTATAGGGTGAGACCAAAAAATGAAGTACTTTACTAAATTATCCTTCGATTGTTTTTTTTATTAAATTAATATAAAATTGATTAACATTGAATTGTCTAATTTATACCTACTATATTTTAATTATATAATTAATTTAAATTCATTGTGACTGAGTTTTATGTGATAAATAATCGAAAAAAATGCATTCATTAGGAACGAACTTATGACATCTTAATAGATTAATCACTCCTAACCATCCAAGCACATTAACTTATTATGATATATTTAACCATAATTGTATAAATACTGTTAATTAAAATATTAATTGCAACATTTATTATTATTAAATAAATTATTAGCAAATTTAATATAATAAAGTTTGAAAAATATAAAGAATTGCAGTTCAATACGCCAAACATCTATCATTAATTATATAATATTAGAATTATTAATAAACTCCACCATTTAAAAATATAAAGAATGCTTAATTAAATATAGAAAAAATGCATAACTTAATTCAAACTCACTTATCTTATATATAAAAGAAAGAAACGCTAGGGCAACCCTAAGAAACCCTAATGGTATTTTTATAATTATTTATTTTTAATATTTTTTCTTTTAATTTTTTAACTATATTTTTCAACAATTATGAAAATCGACACTGAACCGTGAAGCCGTGAAGAATCCTTCCGACTTCAATCTCCTATTTTTCATAAATATATCTCAAATCTTAAGAGATAAAAATAGAAATTCGGTTTGTTAAATCTTAACTTATTTGTTTGGAATTTGGATTATAAATTTTACTACTTACAAAACTAATGTTATATAAAATATGAATAATACTACTTTCTTAAATTTTACTATGTTAGTGTATTATATTTATTCTATTATATATTAAATTGATTTTTTTTCACTTTTAAAATACGATCCCGTGCATCGCACGGGAGAAAAAAATGCTAGTGTTATTAAATCGAGAGTGTGACAAATCCAAATAAAAAACAAAATAATATGTTTATTTAGAAGAAGAAAAAATTATAACTCATTCCAATTAGTGGTTTTCTACTTTTCTTACTTTAAAATAAAATTATATACTACAAATACTATATTGTGAATTTTCTTTTAATATTTAATTTAATCAAATAGTAAGATTTGAATCGATTAAGTTCAAATCCTTTCAATTAGTAAACATTATTCAAATATTTGAATAAGTTGCTTACTATTGACATAACGTGTTACATAATTGATTTAACTATTTATAAGTAATGTCTAATATCTTTTTATTTCAATTTTGTTATAAAAAATAATAAATTTAATTCCCAACACATGTAAGAACCTAATCGTAAATCGTAATATTTTATCAAAGCGTATATTTGATTCAATTAAGCTCAAGCCCTTTCAATTCGTAAACATTATTCAAATATTTGAATCGATTAATTAGCGCAATCAACTATTGATATATTATATAAATTATTTAAATTATATTATATAAAGATTTGTAAATATGGGATATTTTTAATATATAAAACGACGCCGTTTTGCCAATAGTAAAAGAAAAAGGCAAAAGCGACGGTGGCGGGCAGCAGTTGGCGACAGCAGCAGGTGAGGAAGGAGACAAAGTGAGGCTTAAGGTGGCAAAACGGCGTCGTTCGACGGAAAGCAGATTAAAAGAAAAGGAATATTAAAACACATTAGTCTTGATTCCGTACTTTTATTGGCAAAACGGCGCCATAACATGTTACGGGTAATATTAAAACACATTAGTCTTGATTCCGTACTTTTATTCATTCGATTCTTGATATTCTGGTGTCGGTGGTTGTAAGCTGCATTGATTGCTCTTTAAGTTGGCTGGACAACGAGCAATAGGTATTTTTCGAGTGTTGCTTCTTTTTAAGATGGTTTTCCTAATTCCATCTCTGCTACAAACCTGATTTGATTTTCGACAATTCAGTATTAGGCACGACAGTAGCTCCACCATCTCCTAACGGTGATTATGAAATGGGACTTGAGCAACTTGCTTCGATGAACAGGGATCATAATATTACAACACTGCAACAATATGGAGGGGTAACACTTCCTTTTTCCCTTCACCATCTCTCTAGGAAGTCTGCTAACATATGCTATATGCATAAATATTAATCTCGGCCGTCATTTTATTCAGGTTAAAGGGTTGGCAAAAATGATAAAAATAGACGTCGAAACAGGGATATACGGTGACAAACATGAGTTATCACGAAGAAAGAATGCTTTCGGCTCAAACACGTATCCCGTGAAAAAAAGGAGTTTCTTGGTAAGACTTGTCTAGAGTGTTATATTTGTTGATCGTATGTTCTTACTTATACATTTCCACCATTTACTTATTCGACGTTTGTTTTTGCGCAGAGGTTCCTATGGGAGGCTTGGCAGGATCTAACTCTCATTATTTTAATAATAGCCGCTGTGGCCTCTTTGGCTCTCGGAATAAAAACCAAGGTTGGCTTGAAATACTACAATGCCATATTATTAAAAGAATTTATATAATTTCCTTCATATATAATTTAAGAATTGCTCGTGTTTTCCAGGGCCTGGAGGAAGGATGGTACGACGGAGGAAGCATCACCTTTGCTGTTCTTCTGGTTATTTTTGGTTATTTTTGTTACAGGTTAGAAAATTCAGATTGGTTGTTTATAACCTTAGGAGAGAAGTAATATAATTTTCACTTTTTATCATTGCATCTGTTGTTCAGCAGCTAGTGATTAACGGCAGTCCCTCCAGTTTCAAAATTTAAACGAAGAAAAACGGAACATCAAATTGGAGGTAATATTCCAGTCACGAACTTATTCAAGCTTTTACATTCTTGTTATTGTTCTCTTTAGAGTACTCTCATGGACAAACATATGTACAGGTGATCAGAGGTGGCAGAAGAGACAAGGTTTCGATATACATTGCAGGTGCACCTGAATGGTGTTGCAACGTTTATAGCTAGGCATCGTTGGGCTCACCGTGGCTCTCTTCGTGCTGATTATTCTCTTAATCATATAATTTGGGCAGTGTTTCGTGTTATCTTATTCTAATGACCACTTTCTGAATATCAGTAACACTGAAATTAATTACCTCAGATTTTCACGGGGACGGCCAAAAATCCCGATGGATCTGTTCATCTTCGGAAACAGACACCCGCATCTCGATAAGAAATTTTTTGCGAGCAAGATAATGTCAAGAGCCGAATGGTTGGCCTCCTCGAAGTATTTCTTGTTTCTTGCATACCAAATAGCCCAGCAGACCACAACACAATATTCAAAATCATTCAAAATCAGTTTTATCAAGCTGCTTCTTCATTTGCAAGAACCAATCCACAAGTGAGCAATTATACGGCCAATGAATCGTCCATGCCACTCCACTTAACGCCCAAACATGCCTCGCAAACGAACATAAAGGAAGCCCCACAAATTTCACATGAACTGTTCTCTAAAATCTTCCGATTAGTAAGGTTTTGGCGTGTCGGAAGAAGATTATTACAACAACGCCATAAAAAGATCTTGATCTTATTCAGCAAATTCAAGTCCCAAAGCCATTTCCAAGAACTCGATGAAACGAGAGATGAACCACTTGCAATATTAACACCCGCTTTCTCTTGCTCTAAATGAACCACGGTATGGTTGGCGCTTCGAACGGAGAATAACCCATTCTTATTGTAATGCCATATAAGTCGATCTTCATTAATCGCGCTTCCAATTGGTATAGAGAGAATACTTTTCCGGTCCTCCTCATAGAACATAGATGTAATCATATTAACTTTCCATAGACCTGTATTACCATCAATAAGGCTTTGCACCTTCTTATCAATCGGCCAGTTGACTCGAGGAGTGAAAATTTTAGAAGTTCGTTCTCTTGGAAGCCATTTATTTGATTCTACACTAGGTTAAATACACCGGGTGATTACTAACCGTTAATTTACACATAATCACACATACACCCATGTGAATTCTTTCGACCCTACACAAGGTGATAAACACCGAATGGATCTTCCCCACTTGGGTTACCCTGTACGGGTTTTTAAAAAATACACATGTCAGCAGATTTTGTCAACGGATATAGGGTCCAAGGACCCCACTCATGTGTATGTGTACTTAGTAGGTGATTATTTAACCACATCAATTGTTAAAACTCACCCGGCATATATAAACAATGGCACCAATTATTTTGCCCCCTCTCTGTTTGCCATTACGCATAATTGGAGTAGCAAATATGAAGAAAAATGTTCATCAACATAAACTTGCTTATGACATATATACAAAATGTACGCCTATACAACACCAACCTAGTGAGCTATATATATATATCACACACACACACACACACACACCATGATATAATTGCAAAGGGAGAATGCGTATCTAACTCCGATCCAAAACGAACACTTGAACAACTTCGAAACTTCTCGATCGTGTATATATATAGCACCTTCTTTAGATTCTTGATTTTATATGATGAAATATACGCAGCACATTTCATCCTGAGAAACAGACAAGCATTGCGTGTTTGAGGCAATAGTACTTCATTCAGAAAAAAACTTAATTAAGATAAAGACAAGATGAAAAATCATTTAAAAACGGTCGTAAGCGCATATATATATATATATATATATATATATATATATATATATATATATATATAAAGACATACATACATACATGTCGATTTCTTAATTATACGAAGAATTACTAATATCGTACGTACCTTGGGAGATCCTCTGGAATCCTGACGAAACGCTTCTGCTTCTCCTTTTCTTCGACAAACCCTAAAAATTACGTACGATATATTCAGTATTATCTATCGAATCATCTTGGGAATTTAACTATTAAAAAAAAAGGAATAATTAAACATTTAATTAAATAAAATGATCTCGTAGTACCTTAGAATTAGGAAGGGGTAGAGAAGCCTGTCGTACAGCTCGTCCAGGCGTATTCAACTGCCGAATCTCCTGAATCTGACGCGCAATATCCTCCAGAAGCTTCAACTGCACATTTTCTCTCTCCCGATTCCCCACAGAGACACTAACTTTCTCTCTCTCCTCCCTAACGAGCTTCAATCTCTCTCTAAGTCTTATTACCTCACTGTCGATTTTCATCATTTCGCTATTCACCGAAGACAACGAATTACGCCTCGACGGACCGATCGGTGGGAGCCCGTTCGCCCTTTTCGTCTCGGCTTCATTACAAGTCCCGATAATTTTTTCGACCACCAAATTTTCGCCGATTTCTTGAACTCGACCACCCAGTGGCAAAGGCGTAATTTCCTCGCATTCCTGGGGGCGGGTACTGTTATCGACCGATGCAATCTCCTTCTTGTCGGTCGCTTCAGCAAGTTGGTGGAGGATCGAAACGGGGTCCTCGTTCGGGTCGAACCAAGAAGAGCCGAAACTCTGCCTGCCGTCGCTCTTGTCCGAAGAATCGACTTCAAAATGACTATTATACCCTTCGACTTGCTTCTCCAGAAAGTGCTTCTCCATTTCTCTCCTGACGAGAATCTCCTTGAGAATATTCATTTCTTCAGCATCGTAAGCGGATTTCTCTTCGATCATTCTCTGGTACTGTCGGGCTTCCATTTCGACGGCGGCTTTTTCCGCCTGCAGGCGGAGGATCATCGCCATCGCCTCGTCGGCGGCAGAGGCGGCGGCACTCCGCTCCTTCTCCAGCTCGGTGTAGAGGGCGGCACGAGCGGTGCGTTCTTCTTCTAGGGTTTCTTCCAAGAGCCTTATCGCGGTTTTATCGTCCAAGCTGGAAATTTGAAGCTCTTCGTGTGTGCTTCGCTTTACGTGTGTTTCTTCATCGGACGAACGATTCGTTTCGAGAGTAGTGGAGGGTTTACTATCATCTATATATAACATCGAATAATTAAGAGCCGAAATAGGATTATTAATTTTGCATTTATTATTTATGAAACAGAAAGACACAAGACAAGTGTAACAAATTCGATCCCCTTCAAAGCCGTACACGAAAACTTACTTTAAAAAAAATTATGCGAATATTGTGAAATCCACTCGAAACATTAAATTACGTGTATATAATGTAAATACACTACCATAAATTCGCAATACAATACAATAGTAAAACAAGATTCACAGAGAGGCAACAAACAATTTCTAAATCTAGGCCAAATAGAAAAAAAAAACGGGGACGACATTTTCTTTCCCGTTTTAAGATTGTGAGAACATAAAACACTAGTCGTAAAATGCAAATTATTTTCAATACTACAATATATAGAATCGACACGAACCCTTTATTTAATTGCAACGCTAAACTATAGAGCCACGATGATCGTTCATAGTGCTAATTAGCATAAACACGATTTTTTTTTTATTATAGATAATCGGGACTCACATTCAAGAAAATTAAGTTTTCGACACTATCAACAACAAGTGAATAATTACCTACCTCCATTGGTAAATCCGTTTTCCCCCTTGTCGGTGCTAGAATGACAATAAGGTTCGTGCAGTGGAAGATCATAAGACGAAACCGACGAATATTTACCAATACTGCCACTCGCTTTCCGATGCTTGCGAAACCGCCCCCTCTGCCTATAACTAACCGCCCCCTTCCCCTTCATATCAACCGGCTTCCTCGCATCCGACACCGAGCTACACGATGCATCCCCTTCGATTTCAAGAACCCCATTCACATTACTATTACCACCACCAATAATACTGTAATCGTGGTTTTTCGGACACGTGGAATCGCTGAACGGGAACCGATGCTTGATCGACAGCTGAACATTCGATACTTTCTGAGTCGGAAAATCGACGAGAAGGCTGTTCAAACAGATGTTTCTGCTGTGGATGTTGAAAAACATCCCATTACAAGGGCACGGCAAATTCAACCCCAAAAATCCCAGAAATTTCGATGCCACGTAAGCAACAACCGATGCAAACAGAAGTATATATGCTATTGCCAGATCAAGATACGCTGCCGCCAGATTACTCAGGCTCCACATTTGTACGGCCTGGCAAGCCATCTTTCATCGAAGATCTAAACCTAATTAATTTCAGCCAAGATTCCAACTTTCAGAACAATCAAACAAAAGGGTTCCTTAATTTCTTCATGAAATAAAGAAAAAAAAAAAAAAAGCTTTATTTCAAGAAACCCACATAAATAAATGGCGATTAAGTATTAGATCAATTACCTGCAAGAGAAAACTGTAGCTGGAGAATTCAATTTGGGGGGAAAATTCAGCACCCGCGAATTGTTGTAATTCTATAACTTTAAAGTTAAATGTAGATTAGTATAATAAATGTGTTTCGATGATTTCAGGTAGGGGAATTGAAAATTGCCAGCGCTCTCAGGTAAATAATTTTGGCCTCAAAACGACGTCGTATGGTGGCTGGTTCTTGTAAGGTATGTTTGTATCTCTACAAAAATTGACCACGTGCCGCCACGTGTATGCTTGTTGTTGATGAGGAATACTTGGGTGCTATGCATGAAATGGACGAATGGATAGGACGATCCGCGCATCAGAGAAATAGGCACTAAAC